GCCCAAGAACACTTTATTCCCTTTAAATATGCCCCCTAAACCACAGTTTCAGTTGCTCGCCACTTGGGGCAGTCTCGCCTAGAGTTGAGACTTCCTGTTCTTGTCCTGGCGCTTCCTGACACTTTACAAGCAGAGTGCAATGGTAATAGACTTTTTTTCTTTGCTGAGGTAGCTTTCATGGCTAACAGTCATTGACGAACCTCTCCTCACACAGTGCATTTGTCTGGGTTTATTTATTTATTTACAAAAGCCATAATTGTCCGCGCACATGTTGTGTTGGTAGCCAGGCCCACCAAGCAACCACATTCTTAAATCTTTACATTACATTTTATTTTTTTAAAGAGAGTGATTGAGTTGTGTATCAAGGGTGTTGCTAGGAGCACAAAAGTTTTGGGCGCAGGTCCCACGGCACAAATAAGCACAAATCAGCATATGCTAAGGTATAGGCAAAGATTCAGGCTTTCAACGGGAGGAAAGACCAGCGTTGGTTCTTGTTCTCAGGGCTTAATTCTCCTCTGAGCAGAAAAGAGGGGAAAAGGTGGTGCTTTGCAGTAAGTCAAGTAAAAAATATGTACGGGTTGAATCTGAGTAGGCCCATTTAAATTAATGGACCTCAGTTGGTCATGGCCATTAACGTCAGCTGGTCTACTCTGAGTAGGACTGGTGATGGGGGAGGGGCAATAATGTTGGGGCCTTGCACAAAAGACCCAGGATTGAGGCCTCTTCGGCCACCCCTAACAACACCCCTGAGGTGAATACTGTATTGGCCTTTTCAAAACAAACAAACATTTCCACAGTTTGGGGCCAGATTATCAAATTGATAATGTAATAATGATAATAATAATAATTTAAAAATCATACACACACCCTCCTGAAAAAGCTTTTCTCCCTGCCCCTCCCCTCCATCCCGTGAAGAAAATTCAATAGATAACAGCAGGCATTGTCCTTGTTTGATGTCTTGTTTAGATTCGGGGGTTGTGTGAGTTATTACAAGTTCTCCTGCCGATCTCCCTTCTGAATATTACCAAGGTGATTTCATGCCAACCTAACAAATAACTGAACAACAGCTCTGGCTCTGCTCAGCTGACAGGATTGGCTTTCTTTTCATTATCCCCACCCCAAGTTTATTTCTTTAATTCTGCTTTGGGTAGGTCTGTTTATCTTCCTAGAAGAGAGTCAGTTTCACCCAGGACAGCACAGGGGGTGTAGTAAATCCTACTCCTTCACAAAGTTTCCTTCTCTCCATTGTCTTGAGAAAGACAGAGCCAACCGAAAGTAAACTCATTCTTAGAGTTTGTGACATTATTTCCCCTTCCCTATTGCTTGACTAATCTAACAAAGGTGATCAGACAGCCCTTTGTCCTTTCTTTTAAGTACTGCATCTACTGCGTATGATTTGCAGGATTTGCCCATTATAAGGTTCCAGTCACACATGTAAATCAGGCGGCATACTAGCAGCAAGGGGTGGCCCGTTTTATTTGTGTGAGCAGCTCCCTGCAGGTATTCTGTCCCATCTGCATGAAACTGCAGATCAGATGGTGGAGAAAGAGAAAAGGAGGAAATAGCATTGTAAAGATGGTCAGGATTATGTGGGTCATACTTCCTGCGTGTGTGGATTTGGCCCAAACGTTCCATGAAAGCGATTCTGCGCCTTGTCTTACATTGAACATTGTCGATGCAATTTAGTTGGCCTTGATAGAATAGTGTTTGCAAAAGAATACTCCTTTTTTCCAGATTAATAAATCTGGGGTAAAAGTGTGTGATCTCTGTGTGTCTCCCTCTCTGTGTGTTCAATACACGCACATGTGCATTCCTGGAAGGTGAAATCCGTTGACTGCCCTTGGTTCATTCTGAGCTCTCAAATACTGTGTCTCCTGGACAAACAGTCCCGTTGGATGATATGACATTTCCAGAGAATGTTAAAATCCCAAAGGAAACTGACTTCCCCCAAGTTAACACATTAGGCTAATGTTTGGAGCCTGGCGCCAGGCCATTACAGCCAGGAAATTCAGTTCACTTTTTTTTTTAACCACTGCCTTGCTGCTGGTGGAAGCCTAGGGTTAGTTGTGTAGGACCTCAACATCTCATAGGAACCTGGGAAGGTGCCTTTTCTGAATCAGACCTATTGGTCCATGTAGTGCAATAATGATCCTTGATCTTTCTGTATAAGGCAGCTTCCTGTGTTCCATTAGGAAGGTCTCAGGTTCCATTCTTGGCATCTCCAGTATAAAACAAAAAAAGATGAAGTATTGGGTGATAGCAAAGACCTTGATTGATTTCCTGGAGAGCCAATGAACATCAGAATAGGCCAGCCTTCTACATCCGTGTGCCTTTATACATTAGATCAGCTGATAGGAATAGATGGAGAATTTTTACACTTTCCTAATATTGAGGGTTAGGTATCAATTACCAATGAGTGCCGAACGGCAGTATTTTCCATTTCAAAACCTGTCTCTGTCTATTTATGGCCCCTCTGCTTTAAGTGTTTCAGCACCCCTAAAATAGCCAGAAGTAATATTTGGACCTTTACAGAAAACCAAACCCACAACGATCATTTACAAATGTTTATTGGATGCTTGTAAAGCAAAAGTTCAACAGCTTAGAGGGAAATGGAATGAGGAGTTAGAATATACCATACAGCCTAAATAATGGAAAGTTACTTTAGTATCTTTGTGGAATGTTTCTTTCAATCTATAATTGAGATTGATTCAGCATAAATTTATATTTTGGATATACTGAATTCCATGTCTTACAAGAAGGAACTAACTCAGATGCTGCAGGTGTAATCCTGAGAATGCCTCATTGAGGCATATGAATTGGGCTTGTACAGTAATATTTCCTTTTTGGTCTGAAGTTGTCCATATAAGTCTTGTCTTGATGAAATCTTTGGTGTTTGTGTAGGTTCATGTACTTTTAAATTACACTCCTGTAGTATGGGGATTATTGTTACTAAGAGACTTATACTTCAAGCCCAGAAGAAAAAATATTGGTCATGTATTCTGCAATGGCCTGTAGACCTTAATGCCCTTGGTACGTTTGAATGTATTTTCTATAAATGCCAAAGTCGTTTGGATACCTATTTGTACATTTGGATGACATCTTTAGCGATCTGTATGTGTAAATTAAGAAGGATGTTTATTGTATTGTTAATGTGAGCTGATGGGTTTCTTTTTTCCTTCCTAATTAGGATTAGGGTTAGCTGTATGTTTTGGGCTGACGCCTGAAAACATTTCCAGTTCTGACCTCCTCAATGAAATGGTTAGGACTGTTGCAGGTTTCTCTGGGGTCAGATGGGCCAAAGAACCCAAACATGTTGTAGTTTTGTTCCTTGAGAAGATCCCAAACAGGGTACCTCTGAGTTCTACACACTAGTGGGAGGCAGAACACGACTCCTTTCCCTTTTTTCTTCTTCAAAAAAGATTGCTAGAGGGATACGTGCGGTAAGGCAGAAAATATTTACAGGTTTTATAGCTTCAGCACAAACAGGAAAAGCCCTTTTTGTAAAAAGAAAAAAAAAAAGAAAAAGTTTGTGTTGTAGATATTCAAAACAGGGATTGCCATGGAAACGCCACAATATTTGCTTAAATTGACACAAAGGAGGTTGCTGGTTGCAGAGGTTAGGCTTCTTCGGGCAGCGTTTTCTTTGGCCTGACACCTATTGCAAATTAATCTTGACAACCCGGGTTGCATGTCTTTTTTCTTCTTCCTCCACCACCTCCTCCTCCTCTTTCCCTTTCTTTTCTTCCCCCGGAAGAAAAAAGAAAATCACAAAATCACATGTTGGTGTTCGGGAAACACTTGTGTTTTCTCTTGAACGTTTTCTCCTCTCCCTGTTTTAGGGTTGAATTTGGCTTTTGACGTTGCTTTCCAACTGCAGTAATAATTAATTGTTAATAATATTCTCTCCCCACCCTCCAAAAATAATAATCACCAAGCAGGGTCATTGGGTTTGGGAGCTTATGAATATGAGGAATGGGTGGGAATTAGGGAGAAATTCATTGGAAGCAGTGAGTTTCCACCAGGGTTTGAGTGCAATGAGGGTGTCCCCAGCAGCACCAGGAAAAGCTATTATTTTTCTCCCTGCTGTTAGATGCTCACCTGAAAAAGTCCAGTCCATGAACCTGCAGCCTCCAGGGCATTGGCTCACTACAACTCCCATCATTTCAAAGCACTGGACATGCTGGCTGAGGCTGATGGGATCTAGAGTCCATCAAGAGTTATTTGTGTTTGTTGATGAAATGTTACTGATGATTTTATGTTGCCCACCACCCTAATATATATGAGAATATTTGGCAATAGAGAATTACTTGCAAACTAATAATCAGAAAACCGAACAGCACGTGCTTCCCTTACAATATTTAATTTTTTTTTGGGGGGGGGGCGAAATAAATCCCCAGAGACATTAAAAATGGTTAACACATGAATTTGAGCAAGCTCAAAGACCTTTGCATATATTTTGTTACCTGAAAAGTTGCTTACAATGTTGAAACTGTCCCATGGGAGCAGCAGAACTTAGTCCTGCCCACTGAAATTAATGGGCCTTAGTCATGTCCATCGGTGTCAGTGGATTTACTCTGAGAAGGGCTGGCATTGCATACAACCCTATAACCACGGAATTCTGCACTTTCAGAAATAAATAATAAATATAGTACATGGGAAGTGTCCTGCTGCACATCTCTCTTACATGTTACATTTGCACCAAAAGGCACCATTCGCACCAAAATACAGCTCTAATCTACCTTACCTATCTGTCTATTAAAGTATCAAAAGATATGGGTCTTCAGCATATTAGGCAAGCTTGGCATTTTCACAGTTTTTTAGCTATGTATAAAAGTAAAATAAAACCTGATAAATTCATGCAGCTCTCTACCGCATCAGAAAAGTTTATATATTGCAACTGTATTTTTCAAAACACTTGTAAGCAGTTGTGTGGCGGTTGCTCTCAAAAAGGGGCTGTAAATTCATTACTACTTTAAAATAATTTCCCTCTGTTTCCTTAGGGCAAAGAGACACCAACAAGTATAGGGAACCTATCAGACTCTATCTGTTTCCTGAAGCACCCTGGGAGGGGTTACTGATCCCGACACCCCTCCTCAACGTGTTGATTTGGAATGGATTTCAAGCCCAGGGAACACAGGATACAAGGTACTAATTTGTTTTTTCTTACAGTCAGATCTTGTGGCTCAAGCTACTTGCATGGGTTCTCTTAAGCCTCTGCTGAGGTATGTCTGCATCCAGGGCTTGGGACGTTCATTTTTAAAAGGAGCTATTTCTACTTCAGTATGTGGCAAAGGAACTAGTTTGGTTCATGTGCAGTTCACAGTTCAATTCATGCTTGTCTAAGTAATCTTCGGCAATTTCTTCCAACATTCAGAAAGCTACAAGCTGCTGTGCTGAGATATATAAGAGAAGACGAATAAAACGTCCAAAAATAACCTCAACCCACATACAGTGGATGTGAATTGTTTAATTATTTTTCCACCAAAACTGTGATCTTTACACTTAAAGGCCCAAAGAGTCTGAGGCGTAAAAAACACCGGTAAGAGAATGAACTTGCAGATGAACTAGAAATTGTTCAAAGCCCACCCCCACCCCCCAAAAAACCACTCCTGATTTAATTCGTGTTCTATCTACCCAGCAATTATAGAAACTACTTTGAGTGTAATTGAGGACATTTTTGAACTAACTCGATGAACTTCATTAATTCAAACTAGTTCATCCTTAGCACTACCTGCTTTCTTTCTTCCGTTAGAGCCCCATGTATAAACAAAACTTGCTCAAGGGAAGTTCTGATGTTGCCCAAGGCTGATACATCTTGCAATGCTCAAAATGTTCTACACTGTGTACATTGCTGTTTAATTCCCTCTTGGAAGCTGTGGAATTCCCTCCCCACAGAGGTGCATCTGGCGCCTTCATAGTGTAGCTCTTTGCCCCCTGGCCTTTTGCGGCTGAGATGTATTTCTAAGACCCACCCTATTCTTCTGATGCAAATTGTTTAAGCTCATTTTAATATTGCATTGCTATGTCATCGTAACCCACACCGGAATGTTATAGTGAAGGGCAGGTAAGAAATCTTACAGATAAGTTGATAGTGCCCTGCCGCCCGTCTCGAAAAGTGAAATGCTTACGTTTCTCCAGATGACGGACAAAGCCTGTGACTGCATCTGCACTATCCAGGGCCAGCCCATGACAATCTGCTGTCTGAGGCAAAGGACAAGATGGTGCCTCTTCCCATCCCAGTACAGAAGCTGTCCAGATTGGCAACTGAATTTCTTTTGTTTTTGTGGTGGGACAGTCCTTCCCTGGCACCTGAGGTCAGCAGGCTGGCTTAGCACGGCAGAGTGCAGACCACATGGCACACACTGCCATATCTTCTCAACAATGAGTAAACAAACAAACCCCTGTGTTTCAAAATATGAGTCAGCAATATCAAAAGCAACACGATGGCCAGAAACAATAGCAATGTGAAAAACTTTATGGAATAATTCAAAGCATCAAAACTAACAAACTGAAGTCTCTGAAAGTCCTTAAATGAATCACGGTGCCAGACTTTACCCGGCGGACAGCAAGCTGTGAAGCTTTGTATAATCAGCAAATGTCCAATTTTGATGTCCAACTCTGCTGAACAGTGTTTCCGGATAACAACTACTGTTTTGTTGAATTCTTCATCAGCCAATTAGTTCAACACTTGTAAGTAGAAAGATATATAATTTCTTCATTAACTGAAAATAAAATATTCAAATGATGACCTGCACTGTTCAGCACTGTTCAGCAGAGTTCAGAGTTGGACATCAGAATTGGATATCTGCTGATTATACAAAGCTTCACAGCTTGCTGTCCGCCGGGTAAAGTCTGACACCATGATTCATTTAAGGACTTTCAGAGACTTTCAGAGACTTCAGTTTGTTAGTTTTGATGTTTTGAATTATTCCATAAAGTTTTTCACATTGTTATGGTTTCTGGCCATTGTGTTGCTTTTGATATTGCTATCTTCTCAACAACCTGTTGCTGCTTTTTGTCACTCCCACCCAGCTGAGACACACTGCCCAATGATAGGGCCAGCCCTGGTGCTAACCAAGGGCTCCAGACTTGTCAAACATGTTGCTGCTGAGATCAGCATCCTCGCAACTAGCTTCCTCACCCAGCATGCTGGAGAATTTGCACGTGTCCTGACATCACAGCATTCTCATCTCACCACCACCACCACCACATGAATTGTTTTTCCTGGCACAGGAAAAAATATATGAGGTCATCATACCAGGATCTGGTTTAAGTTATATTAAACATCATGGAGAAGGAGGTAGGACTGGGGCAGGGCGGGAGGCAAGTGTCTGCTTTGGGGGGGGGGAGAGCTTTTAGACAAGCTGTGAATTTTTTGACTGCTGATTTTTTGACTGCTACGTTCATATAATTTGTTTTGTGAATTGTTCTTTGGGAGTCTTGGGAGGGAGCTATTTTATTCTGTTACATTAGTTGCTCTCTTGTTACCATTCTCTTTTTATTCGGAAAGGTAGCCTATAACTGTTCCAAGATAAATTAACAAATGGGCTGTAGACATTTTCAGTGGATGCCACACAATTAGCATTATATCTACTTCGCCTGTTGGTTTTTTAAGCCGATTAACTCTCATGGATCTGGGGACTGTAGTTTTGCAGGAGTGCAGAAGAATCTTCTGCTTGTTTTCTTGCAGAACTACAGTACCACACTTCTTTTCGAAGGGTATGTAGGAGCCAACACAATGGAGCTGGTTCTTGACATGGATGAATACTCCAGCTAAGAGATTGTTTTAAAAATGCTTACCATAGAGTAGTAAAACTTTCAGTTGCACCTTTGGCGGGGCATTTCAACAACCTTCCTCTCCGAAACTTGCAAAGAGTTCAGGAACAAGTGGGTGTGATCCATGGCTTCTGTTTTAAACCACAGATCTTCCACGATTTGTTTGGAACAAAGGGAGTGTCTTACTTGGAACAGAGTTATAGGACAGGGTCATGCGACTTTCCCTGACACATAAGATCAGATTATGTTTTACAAGTTTGAATCCCCTGAATTCCTGCTTTTATCGTTTTAGGTTGCATTTTTCTTTTAATGATATTGTTTGCTTTTCCATTTAAAATATTGAGCAGTTTATAAACTCTTTCAAATCAATAAAACAAAATAATAAATATGACTGTCAAAAAGAAAAGGTCTTCTTTAACCACTGCAGCTCCTATAAGTCCCAGCTAGCACGGCTGACTAGACCAGGAGTCGCCAATTTATTTGGGTTCATGGACCCATTTGAAAATCCAAGAAACTATCATGGGTGCCACGTGGGGCAGTGGACAAGGAGTAGCAGCAAACTACCAACTGCATATATGTGTTAGACGACGTTGCAGAACGTACCGTTCCTCATCCTGCAGCGATTGAGATGTTGGAGGGAAAGGGCCCCAAAGTGAGACAGACTGCGTTGGGGCCCATTGTTTTGCATGGAATTTGTTTGGAGAGCACAGCGGGTTCCCTCAAGCTCATAAAGTGAATTTGTAGCTGAGGTGAGGTGGCAGGTTTACGCTACGGCATCATGATAGCTGAGTGTGCAAACTGGAAACAAGGAAAACTTGAGTTCACATGTCACCAGTCCTCACACTCACTCTGTGGTCTTTGCAGTTGAGGGAACTGCATCTTTGCGGTGATGATCCTGGTCTACTGCAGGGATCCACCACAGCAACATCTACCAACAGATTCTCCAGGGATCTCTGGCAGGGAGTCTTCATCCCAGTATTACCTGGAGATGCCAGGGATTGAACCTGGGACCCTCTGCATGCAAAACAAGTGTTCTGCTCCTGACCTATAGGCCCTTTTCCTTTTCCCTAAATACTGTACTGGAGTATTATAAGGATTACTGGTCTGACATATGCACTACGCTTTGAACACTCAACGTGCACTGTGTGAAGCCAAATAGTTGTATCCAAATAAATTGTAGTCAGTGTAGGCCCATTGAAATGGAAGGATGTGATTAACCCTGGGTCCATTCAATTCTGTGGCTCTTCTTTGAACAGGGCTTAGTTGGATGCAAATCAGTGTTGTTGATGTTAAGGGCTGTTTCTGCTCTGCCCACTCAGTTGCCTCGAATCTCCCGTGAACAGTTTTGAGCAGGAGCCTTATGACGGACGCTTCTCACTTTGAACCTATCCCTGGCCTTCCCAGAAAGGACCAGTGCCTTTAACCTAGGCAGGCACTTTTCCTGGCGGAGTTGCTCCCTCTCTCTTTTGGTGTGGCTCCGACAGGGGAGGACGAGGAGAAAGTGAAAGGCCTCTCTGGGCAGGAAGCCGGGTTGCCGCCTCCATCTGCTCCAGCGTTTGGCCAATCCATATTGTCAACATATTGCCTGCCATATGGATCAGCTCAGCTCTCCAGGAACGCTTGGGAGACCTGACCTCTAGTGTGACAAGATGTGAGCATGAAGGACAGGAGTAAAAACAGCCCTTGGGTCTCAGAGTGTGAAACTGCGTTCCAGACACTTCCTTGCTCTTCGTGGCATCCCCTACCCTCTCTCTTTGAGCAGGCTCCTTCTCTCTCTCTCTCTCTCTCTCTCTCTCAATCTCCCCTCCCCTGTTTTTTCACATCCTTCGTCTGTATTGGATCATTGACCTTCAATCCTAACCAGACCGGACAGTTCTAAACTCCCTCCCCTAGGCTTTCAATCAGATATTTGGTTGACGGCTGCACAGAGCTGAGCAGAGGGGAGGGGAGGGACATCAAGGGAAGGGGAGAGAAGGCAACATGTTCCTTAAGGCCCTGAGATTATTCAGTCCTTGTCACAGGAACATGGAAAGCTGCCTTATTCTGAGCTAACCCATTGGTTCTTCTAGCTCCATATTACCTGCACTGGCTGACAGTTGCTTTTGATCAGTGGTGTCCAAACTTTTTTCTCTGGACTGCACTTTCAGAATAAAAATTTGCTTATGCCACATCCATGTTTTTAATGGATAAGGAATGTATTGGAAAAGAAAATGAAACAACACTTAGCAGTGCTTGATTTAGAACGTAGAACGCAACTACTTTAGAATATGATCACAGGACATCCAGAAAGTATAAAACCATGCAGCTAGAGAAGAACAGCAATCATTCCCAAAATATAATGTCAAACGAGCTTCGTACATACATACCTT